TCCCGCCACTGTCAACCCTTTTCTTATAGTATTACGATTAATTGTTCAAGGTCCACTTATGAATGAGAACATGTGATGCTCAGATCCTTGTTTCTGTGAGAGATCACTCAGTATTATAAACTCTAATTCCATCCAGGTTGCTGCAAAATTCATGATTTTGTTCTTTTTTATGGTCGCATAATATTCCATTGTGTATATGTACCTGTCGGGAGCCATAATCTTACAGGTGCCAGTTCTGAAGCTGCCTGAAGCGTACCCACTTCACCAGGCAGGCAGAGCCACTGGTGAAAACCATGGAATGGCAGAGCCCCATGGAAGGGAAGGCAGAGGGACTTCAGATGGCCCTGGGAAAAACAACAATGTACGCTCCTCATGGCATTAAGTTTCATGACATGTTTATCCCGGATGTTTGTTAAAAATTTATCCGTTAAACACTCTGTTTTGAATGAAACCCAATTCTATGGATCAACCAAAACTAGACATGACATCCAAAGGTCATTAGTTAATGATCTTCTTTTAAACAATCCTCTAACCAAAATAAGGCAGATTTCTGCTTCTCTTCCCCCGCCCAGCTGAGACAATACTTGTTTCACCCTTGTATGAGAACATAAAGAAATCTTTCCCAGAATTGAACACAGCAGGACAGGCCATTCTAGAGTAACAGTAAACAGTTTAATTATTTTGTAGAGAATAGTTTCACCATTCCACTTTTTCTTCATAGAAGCACTAGAGATATTAAATCAAATAGACAAGTTATTTTTATAGTGAAAATCGATAATTATGTTGGATATAAAATTAATAATAGAATATGGTGGGCGCTGAGAGGGAAAAGTAGTATGCAGAATTTAGATTGGTTTGACCCATTTTTACCATACACTGGTGTTTATGATAAGAATTTTGTTAGATGGTTTTGGATAAATGGACGCAGGATCAGAGCCAGTGAGGTTTCCACCTGGGAGCAGATAAAGTGCAGTGAACCTCTGATTATGTCTGAAAAGGCTAAAATCCTGTGGGAACAGAGAAAGAAAGTATATGTGAAGCGGGACACAAGATATGGTGTTGGTTAACAGATAGTATGTAAATCATAGATGATATAAAGTATAAGTAAGATAAATAATAGAAATAGAAAAAACTATAGATATAAAAATTTAAATAGAGTTAAAGTACAGAATAAGATTTATAAGATAGAATAGAGAAGTTAAGATGGAATAGAGAAGTTAAAAAACATCCCTTAAAGGAAGTAAAAAAAAAAAAAAAGACTTGCCTTACGTCAGCAGGTTTCATACCTTAGGGGCATAAGCTAATATTTGCTGCTATAGTTGCAAAATATTAAATAGATGCATAAGCAATATAAAGTTAAAAGTTAGCATAAATAATAGACATTTTTGTTTAGATCATTAAAGATTAAAAATCAACGGAAGGGGTTTTGGATATCACATGTTGTTTTAAATTGTAACTAGTTGGAAAAATATACGTGTAATGTTTAGATTATGCCAAAAAAAGCATTATAAATATAGCCTCATGAGCAATAAAGTTTTGCCGTGATTGCCATCCTCATCGAAGGTGTGTGGTCTCTGTCTCTCCCCGCTTCTCTCACCTCCCCTTCGGGCCCCACCCAACTGGAGCAGGTCTCCGACATGTACCACATTTTTAAAATCCAGTTCTCTAACATCTAGGATCTACGATGCCAGTAACTTCTGTGTGCAGATCCTGTCTGAAATAGTTGGTGCTTTCTAAAATGTTCCATGTAATATTCTGTCATTCGGATTTGGAATACAACTTCAGACCTTTAGGGCAAATTGTTTTGCTAAAAATGATCAGTGAAATATGCACAACTTATGTATCCATAAAACTAAAATTTAAATTTATCAGTAGAGGTTATATAAATATTGGTTAAAGAATGTCGTATTGAAAAATATACGAGTTTTTAAAAATTGGCATGCTTAAACTTGGATGGACTTAGAGTCTATAATACTGAATGGTCTACCACAGAAACAAAGAACTGAGTATCACATGCTCTCACTCATAAGTGGACCTTGAACAATTATCTAATACTGTAAGAAAAGGATTGGCAGTAGTGGGAAACCGCCCAGGGCGGGGGGCACACCTCATCAACAAGGGTACCTGCTTAATGAACATTTGTATACCTAACCCTGAATTGTACCCCACATCTTTAAAATAAAAAATCATTTAAAAAAATAAAATAAAAATAAAAATTGGAATGCTTAAATCCAAGAGATAACCAACAAAGAAAATGTTAATAAAGGAGACATTTTGTGCTGTTTATTGTAAAATAATGTCTACCAAAAATTCAGTTAGCTTTCTTATTTCTCTAAAGAATTACATTAAATGTCACTCTTGTACTGAAACACTTATATTAAAATTAACTGCACCCAGAATGCATTACCTTAAATGATATCCTATACCCCATTTTCTCTTCAGAAACAAAGATGATCCTGCGCATTTCAAATTCCCATTAGACAGAAATACTTTCCTGTCTGAGTAGGAAGGAAGACAAAACAAATTTTATAAAGAATAATTCCTTACTTGGTATATTCTCTACTCTGGATACAAAAATACTGAATGAATTCTTTCTATATGAATGCAACTGTGATGTAATTGAGCCCCTAGGTACAGTACTGCCTCTAATCCTCATGCCTATCGTGAAGCAAGTCCCAGAAATTCACTGCACTCCCCATAGCTAATCCAATGCCACAAAAAGTTGCAAGGATGGTCCACCTCTTCACTCATTTCTTTAACCACATACATTAGTATGCAACTTTGCAGCATAACACCAACATGTGACTTGCTTTGGCCAACAGCATCTTAGCAGATGTTAGCAAGTAGAGGCATGAAATGGGCTTATACATTGGGACTTGCTCTCTTAAGGCTCGATCACTGTCATGAGAACATGACAGGGTTAGCCTGCTTGAAGAAGAAGTGCACCTAGGGGGAAGCTAAGCCACCTGCACCACCCTAGTCGATGGCACTTGACGCCCCAGATATACGGATGGACCCAGTCAAGACCTGAAAATTTCCCCAGGTGAGTCCATGTTAAATTGCAAACTCTCCAATTCACGAGCTAAATAAATGTTGATTGACTTAAGGCACCGACTTTGAAGGAGGTGGTTACACAGCATTATTGAAGCAAGGGAAAACTGAAACGAGAAGTAAAGCTTATTTTACTTCGGATTTCATGGAGGAGTTGAATACAGTATTACGTTGTATACCACACAGCAAAATATTATCTTCTTTTCGCTGAGTCCCTTTCTGGATTTTTTTTTTTTTTTTTTTCAGATTCTTCCCTCACATACTTTCTGGGATTGTCGAAACTAGTTTTCCCCACCTGCCTTTATTTCCTAGGCGAAAAAATTGTGTTCTATCTCTAATTCTGCAGTCTTCACACCCAATCACTCATCGCAGTGAACAAAGGATCTTCCTAACTTGGCAACAAAATGTAAATTTTAAAAAATTTTTCCTAAAGTTTTTTTCTCTGTAAGAAAGACAATATAGGAGTTTCAAATCTCTCAAAACATGCTTGTAATTGATGTAGACAGTCAAGAAACTTATAGACAAGAAGAAAATACTTAAAGCAGGGGTCTAAGAATTCACTGGGAGATCCAAATTCCTCTGAGAAAAATTGCATTTTTAGAGTACAGCAACTTAGGCGGACTGCATTCGAGATTCTCTTCTTTTGCAAACAGACTATAGAAGATTTCTCTTATGCTAAACCCTTAGATAACTAGTTAAAATAAGGAAACCAAGAATCACCAGCCAAGATGTCAGCCTCATCCATGAACTGAGTACTGAAGAGGATCACATGGTCTGTTTTACACTCCTTCAGGAGGCTCCATATTTGATGTGTTGAAAGGGGATCTAGTCCAGCAGTTGGTTCGTCCAATAGCAAAATCTGCAGAAGGAAATGTACGAAAGTGTCTCTTTTTCACAGTGAGGATCCTCAGAAAGCAGCATAAAAACCAGTGTCACCTCTAGACCTGAATACAGACCTCTGCCGGGTCCCTAGCAGGCTTACCTGGGACTTTATCTCAAGTTTTCTTTCACATTTGGTAATTACAGTAGGAGTTGGACTTTAATATATTGCTTTATATCCTTTAGTCCAAATCTGTCTTTAAAATATTTTCTCTCACCTGAGGATCTCCTAGAATGGCAATCCCAAGTGTTAGTTTTCTCTTCTGTCCACCACTTAATTTTTTAGCAATAACATCTTGAATGCTTTGCATGTCTAATTCCACTATAATTCTTTTCACCTATAAGAAAAAACCCTGCATTAACAGTGCAAAATATTTACTCTAGAATTTCACTGATTAACCTTTATATAAAAAAAGAAAAATAATGGTTGAAAAAACTATAGTCAAAAGTAAATTAAGCAACTTATTTCTGAAGTCATCGATTTTAATGTGTTTATCTACCTCTTGTTCTACTTCCTTTGGCTGAATCCCTCTTATTTTGGCAAATAGCCTAAGGTTTTCTCTCACAGTCAGAAAGTCAAACTGAAAATTGAACTGTGGACAAAATCCAATGTTTTTTCTGATTTCTTCCATGTCAGTTATTTCAGAAAGTTGGGTATTACAAATAGTGACTGATCCTATAAAAATACAAATTTTAAATAACTTAACACCAGGGTAGTAATTCTACATTGAGTGATAAAATATAATATTAGTAGTTAGATCTTGTTAAGAAACTTGCCTTGATTAGTTGAAGAAACTTCACATTTTCTAATTGCATAATGAATATAATACACAATATTCTTAACATGAATATCTGTGTCCACAGCAATGCAAAGCCAAATAATAGTGGAATGGAGTCATATGGAAGGTCGATTTTTAGAGCTTTTAGGAATCGCCACACTGATTTCCACAGAGGCTGTACCTGCAATCCCCCTACTGGGAATATACCCTGAAGAACTCAAATCACTCTATAAAAAAGATACCTGCATACGTATGTTTATCGCAGCATTGTTCACAATAGCAAGATCATGGAACCAACCATGCTGTCCATCAAAAGAGGACCGGATTTTAAAAATGCGGTACACATACACCATGGAATATTACGCAGCCATAAAAAAGAACAAAATCATGAATTTTGCAGCAACCTGGATGGAAATAGAGTCTATAATACTAAGTGACCTCTCACAGGTACAAAGATCTGAGCATCACATGTTCTCACTCATAAGTGGACCTTGAACAACTACCGTAATACTATAAGAAAAGGATTGACAGTGGCGGGAAACTATGGTGGGGGGGACAGGGAGGGGAAGGGAGGTGGGATAACGGCAGTCAATATCTGTCTGGGGGAAGGGGGGCACACCTTACCAACAAGAGTACCTGCACAATCCATATTTGTATACATAACCCTTAACTGAACCCCACAACTTTAAAATAAAAATATATATATTAAAAAAAATAGTGGAATGGAGATGCAAACTTTCTCATGAATTTATGTACATATGAACTAAATATTTCCTGTTCTAAATTATTCAACAGTATAAGAAGCCCAATTTAGAGTAATATTTTTCTTTCATATAATCAGATTGAAAGACTTCAATTTACAGCCTGGTTTTTAGCAAATTTTTTTCTCACCTTCTGTAGAAGCAGATAATCCACTAAGAATGTTTAGCAGTGTTGATTTACCAGCTCCACTATGCCCAAGTATTGCAGTGATCTGTCCTTCATATATGTCAAAGCTTATGCCTATTTTAGAATAAAATGTGAAAATTAGATTTTGGATTATATGCAGATGAAATAGACGTTAATAAAATTGGAAGGGTAAAATATATCTCAGCATTTTATTTCATTGGTATTTTAATATATCCTCTATAAAATGATATATATAATTGTAAAAGTTATATATTTATGAATAAAATGCATCTTTGGAGAAATTGGATCAAGAATTTCAATATGAATGTCTACCTTGCTGCCACCTTCAAATTCTTTGAATGTCAAAAAATATACACATTTGCTATTAAAAAACAAAGAGAAGGCTACCAGAGATAAAAAGCAAAACACAGTTTATTTGCTTCCTAGGCAAAAGAAAGCAGTGTGGCTTAAGAAGTGTTTCCACTGAAGTTTCCAGAGCTGGAAAGAGAGAGGTCCGTTACAGAGATCAAGGAGGAGAGCTGATTCCGAATCAGGACTAGTTCAGGAGAGCACTGGTTTCCTCTGGCACTGATCATTGTTCTGTTTTTATAACAAAAGTGTCACAAGACATGTTACAGGCATTTTCATATGCACCCTACTTAGGACTTGACAACTTTTCCTTAACATTTGAAAGATTAGCTCCATTGGAAAATAAAAATTCCATTAGCATATCAGAAATCTTAAGAGATTCTCTGAAGACAGAAAACATGGAATTAGATTGTCAGAAAATCAAAAACAAGGCAAACCAACAGCCCAAAGCAGATGATGAAAAGTTCAATGAAAATAAAATCAATTCCAGTGATTCTTCAGGCTTAGTTTGGCAAAGCCAAGTTAAAAAGTATAAAGCAGTATGAATAGTGCAATGTCATTTGGAAAAATAGTTTATATATACATATATACATAGTAAAAGATAATATACTATTGATAGCTGCCCTCCAGAGTAAAAACATGCTTTTAAATGTTTTTCTTTCATCTATACTACTTTTCTAATTTTCTACTATAATTATTTGTATTTTATGGTCACGAAATTTATTTAATTAAAAACATCATCAAAACAAATAAGTGTTTCTCTTTACCTTGCAATACTTCTACCTTGCCAGGCTTTCCCTTATATTCTTTTTTAACCTTTCTGATTCTGAAAAAAGAGTAAGTAACTTTGAGGTCAATGAATTTTTTTAATAGCACAGATAACAATTCATAGCTAAACCTGAACTTCACAGTATAGGGTGTCGCCCTTTTAATAGGATCGAAGGAGGGCAGTGGTAAACTTATTTATACAGACCTGCTCATTTTCTTACCACTTGGCATTTCATGTATTCCCACTATGTTCCCAAATTTACCAAATAAATAAGGGAAAGCTGCAACTGAAAGAAGTAAAGAAGGAAGACAGAGCAGGAGAAAGGGAAAGCAGCTTTTCCTCAATCCTGTGTCCCTCCCAACCATTCTTCCCTTTCACAGGCAAATTTACCAAAATAATGGTCTTTATTCCCTGTTTCCATCTCTTACCCAACATTTATTTCTCAGCCTAAGACAGTATAGCTTCTAACTCTACCACTCCACGGAAACTACTCTCAATGAAGTTTACCAGTGACATTCAAATTACTGAATCCAGCTGGGCTCGGTGGCTCAGCCTGTAATCCCACGCCTTTGGGAGGCTAAGGTGAGTGGATTGCCTGAGCCCGCGGGTTCGAGACCTGCCTGGGCAACTTGGCAAGACCTCATCTCTACAATAAATCAAAAAATTAGCCGGGTGTGGTAGCACGCGCCTGTAGTTCCAGCTATTTGGAAGGCTGAGGCGGAAGGATCGCCAGAGCCCAGTAGGTCGAGGCTGCGGTGGCCGGGAGTGGCCACTGCACTCCAGTCTGGGCGACGGAGTGAGACTCCAACGCAAAAACAAAACAAAACAAAACAAAAACAAATTACTGAATCCAACAGACACTTTTCAGTCCTCGTTTGATAGACCTCATTACTATTTTTAAGTCACTGTTCATTCTTTTCTTTTAGCAAGGATCTATTTCTCTGGCTTCTCCCTTTTTGGTTCCACATTCTTCACTTGCTATTCCTTCTCAGCATAGTTTATCAACTCCTGAAACTGGATTTTATACTTGACCAACTACTTTTCTTATTCTCAAATCTTTGCTATGCAGTCTTAGCCACTGTCATGACTTTGACCCCTACCTAGATTCTAATGATTCTCAAATTTGTATCATCAGATATTTCTTTAGAGTTTCAGATTTATATACAGCTTTTTGCTAGACAGCTGTTCTTGGATATCAAACTGAATGCAGGATATTGTCCTCCAAACCAGGCCCACTTCCATTTTCTATCTCAGTTAATATCTCTACCATCTACCCAGAAACTCAAGCTAAGAGCCTGAGAGGTATTCTTAACTCTCTCTCTCTCTCCCTTTCTCATCCCATCTTGAGGCATACAAAATTAACCCAATTTAAATGTTAGGAATTTATAAATTTGGTTTTATGAATCTGTTTGGATTTATTCCTTTACTCCTTGCTCATGACCTTCTAGACCATCCTCATTACCTTTCACCTCAACCGGGGCTATGACCTCTGTGCTGGATTATTAGTTATTTCTTTTGCGTCTGCACTAGCCTCTTCTCTTCTGCAATGCAGAAGACATACCAGGGACTAGGCTTCTCAGAATCCCGTTCTCTGTACCCAACTTTGCTAACAAGAAGAACTTGGGCAAGATTTGGAGAGCAGAAATGAAACAAGGTCACAGAGATTAAACACATGGGCAGACACGAGGTTTATGGCAGCTCTTAGACTTCCTAATGAGAACTGCTTTTCTGTTGCAGATTACGATAACTGGTGAGAGGAAGTTTTCCCAGAAAAATCCCTAAGGCTTGCAACAGTTTACCAGCAAACTTCTTGAAAATCACCCATTTCTGTGCATCAGGCAAAGGTCCTTCCGTGACTATTTCCCTGACTATCTGGCTATAACTTTTTTACTTCCTCTCCTCCAAACCTTGTATATTTGTGAGTCCCTAATGCCTATCTTAGACTGTTTCACTCCCATAACATTTCTAGCAACTCACTTTTCCTGCCCATACCCAGACTGGTATCTCCTAAATAATTCCATTTCTCTAGTTGTGTCAACCTCATATCCAATCTCCAGAAAGCTGCCATAGTGATCTATCAAAGATCTGGTTGCCTAATTTGCCTCCCTAAAATCACTCAGTGATTCTCTACACATTACAGGACAGGCTACTCTTCTTAACCCGGCAAAAAAGAAACAAAGAAACTTCTCCATGAGCTGATCTGGTCCCTACCTCTTAAGGTTTACCTCTCTGTCTTCTAGCCTTGTACCTTACGTTCAGAGATGTTGGTTCCCTGTGCTTCCTAGACATACACGCTCACTTGCTGTCCCATGTTACTCATGCCACAGCCTTTGTAGAAGGATCTTCACATGCCCCATCACACTTTATAAGACTAAGATCTTTTTTTTTTTCCCATAAGACCGTCTCAAGAGTCATCTCTTTCTGACCTTTCCCACTGCATTGGGCTGGGTTGGATAACTCTTCTCTGTGTTCTATTAATTCTCTGTGTCCATCTCTACCACTTCTTTTACTAATTGCCTATTTCAGTGTTTATTTCCCCCTGGACTGCACCTTTCTTGAGGTGAAAGACTATCATTCGTCTCTGCATCCTAATTCCAACAAAAGGCTAGTTGATGGATGAATTAATTTGTCAGCAGGAACTGTCTGGTTCAAAATTATCAGAGAGGTTTGAGGCAAGTTAAACCATTAAGTATAGAGAGAGGAAATGTCAAGGCAAACAACATAGTATGGAGGTTTAGACAGGCTTACACTGGCACATTCATCTGAGAGTATACTCAGTTCATATTAAATACTCAAGGGCAAATTGGACTTAAGACTACTGAATAGGATGACTAGTGTCATCTACTTACTTAGGAAACCTAAATAACTCCTCTTTACACCACACACATGCATACCCATCTCCATTGCCCATTGGATGAATATGGGTCAGATTCATTGTCTTGGGCATTTTTAATGACATCATGTTTCCAATCGCATTTGGACTGACAAAGGAAGAACTAAAGTAGTTTAGTTATAATCTAGCTTGCTAAGTGACACAATACTAAATTTTCTGATGTCTACATAACTACTGTAAGAGCTAATAGTGAGGAAAGTGATACAATGGAACAGCTTGAAAGTCTTCACACAGGAGACAGGACTTGAAAGACTAATAAAAATGGCAGAATTTGAGATGTTCCATCAATTCCAAGGAACAAAGAGTTTTAACCTTGATCTTTTCCTCTCAGTTTATAGCTTTCTCTCCTTCCTGTTATCTTTCTCCTTTTTCCACTTCTCCCAGAAACTTTTTATCAATCGCTTTCTACCTATTTTGAAATAAGGAAGATTGGTATAAGCCTGATTGAATTTATTTATGGTATTCATAACATCGAACATTTATTGAATATCTATTTTTGGCCAGGTACTGTTCTATGTGATATCTCATTTACTCTTCATGACAAACATTGTACTATTGTTATGCCCATTTTTGTGATAAAGAAGGCCAGGTGTGGTGGCTCAAGCCTGTCATCCCAGCACGTTGAGAGGCCAAGGTGAGGGAATTGCCTGAGCCCACAGATTCAAAAACAGCCCAGGCAACTTGGAGAGACCTCATCTCTACAATAAATCAAAAAAATTAGCTGGCTGTGGTATCGCACGCCTGTAGTTCCAGCTACTTGGAAGGTGGAGGCAGAAGGATAGCCGGAGCCCAGCAGGTCGATGCTGGGGTGGCCATGAGCGTGCTACTGTACTCCAGCCTGGGTGACAGAGTGAGAATCCAACTCCAAAAAAAAAAGATAAAGAAACAGAAGCAGGGGCAGATTAAGCACTTTAGTTGGGATTACACAGTTAAGAACTGACAAAACCAGGATTCCAACCACGTGGTTTAAATATATGAACCACATTCTAATCACTATGGTCCACTGCCTCTTCAAAACATACTCTAAAAAGATAACTTCACATAAATGGAATGTCACCTAAAATTATTTCTCAAAAATCTCCAATAAAGTAAGCAAATGCCTAGGGAAGCGTGCACTAGATCATGACAAAATAAAGACCTGAGCAGTCGTTGTCTACACATCTTCCTGGTTTCCCTTAAAATCTTGTATTGATGGCTCTCCCTACATTACTTCTTATACTTCTTATTTCCATAACCTTTCCATCAATCATACAAATTTGGATACAGAACTAACATTTATCCAGCTCCTATTATGTAACGGGCATACATGCTTAATTATCTTATTCATTCTTTACATTACTACAGATGACAGACAGGCATTATACTCTTCTCGGAAATAAAAAGAAATGAAGATTGGAGAGCTCATATAGTTTAACCAAAAGTCACAAAACTCATAAATTTTGGAGAGGGCTTTTGAATTCAAAATTTTAGTCCTTATACCACTAAAAGGGAGATAATCTCGGTGTAAAAAGTATGTATATCATAAGTACTTATAGACTTTATATACCCTGTAGACATATATATGTCCATAACGTGTGTGTGTGTGTGTGTGTGTGTGTGTGTGTGTGTGTGTGTGTGTGTTAGACAACAAAGTAGAGAGGAGAGTATAAATGGTGGGGGATGATAAGATAGAAGACAGAAAGAAGATGAGGAGCAAGAAAATTAAATTACCAGGTCTACTAAATTTTACTGTTGACAATATCAACAGTATTTGCATTTAAAATAGAGAATGAGAGAAATTTAGAATGATAGAAGAGGAAAAACTGAAAGGAGCACACCATCTACATCAGCATTTGACCTGTGACTAGCCCTGCTGCAGCTTGTTTAAGCTTTTTCCTATAAATGTACCTAGTCACACAGTTTCCCATTTACCTTATGGCTTCTTTTCCACGGAATTCTGGAGACACTGGTTCAAAAGAGTCATCAGAGGAATGCTCAGAATGTGTCTCATTTTCAAAGCCTTCATGATGAGTATTTGGTTGTTTGCACCAAAACGAAGACTTTAGGCAAAACGAGGGAGAATGCTGGTGGCCGTCTTTATCTAATTGATCAAGGTAATTACATATGGCATCAATTATAACACTCCAGTAAAGAAGACATCTATCCTAGCACAGGCTGGTATCAATTTTAAACTTACAATATTATATTGGGCATTTACATTTGTAATGTTAAAAGTAGCATTACAGGTACATTAAAGTTAAGACTGTGTTCTGAGAATAGAGATTCTGGAAGCAAAGCCTCAATTTCTCAACCAACTCAGCTTTGACAAAGCTCCCAACAACAACCACTGGGGAGAAGAGAACTTATTCAGTCAATGGTGTTGGGGAAACTGGCTGATCACATGCAGAAGATTGAAACAGGATCCCTACCTATCCCCATACACAAAAATCAGCTCTAAATGGATCAAAGACCTAAACATAAAACCTCAAACTATAAGAATCTTAGAAAATCCAAGAGAAATCCCTATGGAAATTGGAACTGGCAACCAATTCCTGATCAGAACCCTAAATGCCCATACCTTAAGAAATAAGATAGACAAGTGGGACCTCATCAAACTAACGAGCTTCTGCAAAGCAAAAGAAACCATCAAGAGAGTGGGGAGACATCCCACAGAATCGGAAAAAATATTTGCCAACTGTATATCTGACAAAGGCCTAACATCTAGGATCAACAAGGAACTCAAACGCACCGAAAGGAAACAAACAAACAGCCCCATTAAAAAGTGTGCAAAAGACATGAATAAACACTTCTCAAAAGAAGATATACGGGCAGCCAACAGACACATGAAAAAGTGCTCAGCCTCACTCATCATCAGAGAAATGCAAATCCAAACCACATCGAGATACCACCTAACTCCGGTAAGAGTGGCCATCGTTAATAAAACAAACAACAACAGATGCTGGCAAGGATGCAGAAATAAAGGAACGCTTCTACACTTCTGGTGGGAATGCAAACTAGTGTTACCTCTTTGGAAGACAGTGGGGCGATTTCTGAAAGAACTAGAAATTGACCTTCCATATGACCCAGCAATCCCCCTACTGGGAATATACCCAGAGGAATTCAAATAATTCTACAAAAAAGATAACTGCACATGCATGTTTGTTGCAGCTCTATTCGCAAGGGCAAAAACGTGGAACCAACCATGCTGCCCATCAAAGCTGAACTGGATTTACAAAAAAAATGTGGTATATATACACAATGGAATATTAAGCAGCCATAAAGAAAGACAAACATATGAACTTCGCAGCAACTTGGATGAATTTAGAGTCTATCATACTCAGTGATCTATCACAGAAACAGAAAACTGAGTACCACATTTTCTCACTCATAAGCAGACCTTAAACAATTTTCATAATGCTATACGAAAGGAATTGGCAGTAATGGGAAACTGCCAGGGGAGGGAGGGGCACACCTCATCAACAAGGGTACCCGCATAATGAACATTTGTATACCTAACCCTGAATTATACCCCACATTTTTAAAATTAAAAAAAATTTTTTTAAAGACCATGTTCTGATCCCTGATAGGTCTCAGCTGTGGTTCGTAAAAATAAAACAGCTTATAAAAGGAGAAAAAGATGTAGCTATAGGGAACCATATAAAACATCAAGAACTTCACTCAGGAGTTCCAGATACTTGGATGCTTAAAAAGAGAAGTCGTGTAAGCTGTTTCCTGCCAGAACATATTAAGAAATATTATGATGATAATATAGAAGAAACGAATGTTGAAAATAGTGAGCACATCAGTCATTATAAATCAAAAGACAACCTTTTACAAAGCCCTAAGAATACAACAAAAGCAGAAAAACTAAGTAATTAAGAACTTAAAGGTAGACATAGGGCTGGATAGTTGTTGTCATGCAGGAATACAAATAGTATATAGAAAGAAAGAAAAATAAAATTAAGAAATCAGATGTAGGAAGCATGGAAAATTTTATAAACCTATTAGAGAAAGGCATTAAACACAAGTTAAATAGTTTCTTCATTTATTTCATTTTTTGTAATTTTTTAACCAGATACATAGATAATCCTTTTTCTTGTCATGACCTTTGGGAATTACACAGGGATTTTCATTAAGAGATGGTTCATACCATTCCAAGGTAGAACAGGTTCTATTTATAATTAATTTAAAACAGCTTGACAGTTAAATGGATTTATATCTGTTAGAGTAGAAAATTCAGTTGCAGATCTAAATAATATGAGATGGTGTTTTAATGATGTATTCACAAATGGATTTATTAGTGATAAGAGGGGGAAATTTAAAAGATTTTTCAGAAACTACAAGATAATTAAAACATGAAGTTTTCATATGTAATATTCCATTAGAAACTGTTACTGAAAACGAATATATTGTAGGGAGATACACTTGATCAGTGCCACTCCAAAAGAGGAACTGACGAAGAAGAGATACGGCAAATACACTTCCTGACCTATGAAAGCAACAGATATGGATGGCATGTAGAAAAATATGTGGGGAAAACGGAGAAGCTAAAGTTAGAAATTCAGTCTAGAGAAACGAAAATAATAATATTACAGTTTTAGAGATTGGAAGAGCAGAAATGTTTAAAGGTGAAAATATGTAAAAACATCTAGAGTTGAACTAGCTAAAAGGGAAATGACACTATAAAGAGACAACAGAAAAAATTTAGAAGGGAAAAAATTAAAATTGAAAAATAAATTCATTGCATTCATAGAAATTATGCTATTTTTAAAAATTAGCCAAAAATTGAACTATTGTTTATATTTCTGTTTTGCTACTACTGTAGTTCTTTTCTGTCCAGGTAAGTGTCATTATTTTCACCCCTAGTAGCCAAAGGTTGAAAGCAGGAAGTCAACCTTCCCTCCATCTGCTCCAAGAGTCTTTTAAGTCTGTCCTCCCCTTTACATTACACTCACACCTTAATATGATTCCCCATGACACATGGATTATTACATTAGTGTCCACCTCCTTTGAGCTCATCCTCTACACAAGTGCCAGAGTGATTTTCCTAAAATGCAAATCTTACCAATGGAAGGTCCTATATACAAGACTTCAGTCTGTTTCTATTTCCTGCACCAGTGGTTCTAATGCTTTTGGATTTCTTGGACAAATATTATTTCCAAAAGTGAGCACACTGTGTTAAGGACAGTTTAAAAAGCTATGATCTGCTATCCTAACCATCACTGCAAAAAAAAAAACATAATATTTTTACTTCAAAAATGTAGATAAAAGCTGGGCTCAGTGGCTCAGCCTGTAATCCCGTGCTTCGGGAGGCTGAGGTGAGTGAATTGCCTGAGCCCGCGGGTCCGAGACCCACCTGGGCAACTTGGTGAGACCTCATCTCTACAATAAATCAAAAAATTAGCCGGGCATGGTAGCACTGTCTGTAGTTCCAGTTACTTGGAAGGCTGAGGTGGAAGGATTGCTGGAGCCCAGCAGGTCGAGGCTGCAGTGGCTGGGAGCGGCCACTGCACTCCAGTCTGGGTGACAGAGTGAGACTCCAATTCAAAAAAAAAAAGTAGACATAAAAGTTATAATTTCACAATAGAGAACACAACTTTAAATTTAAAAATAAAGTTGTATGAATAAATTTTTCTTTTTCTTACCTGACAAGGTGAAAATTTTGTCAAGGATCATTACTGATACTTGAACTGTGCTAAAGGATAGATTTCAAAATTCTGTATGTGGTGTATCAAGTGAAAGCTATTAGTAGGAAGCTATAGAGGCACTTAATTGAGCCTCAGAATCTCATGGATCCATACATGCTATATTGTCCTGTGCATAGCTATTTGTAGGCATGTGTACTTGAAAAAAAAACCTCTCTTGTAAGTCTGATTAATAATTCTCACAGTAGAAACACGTCATACTCTCCTACTATGCACCAGTTCTGCCAAGTCGCTTTTAATTTCCTTTATGCTATACTATTTCACATTGTCGGGTATACATGCTGTTGGCTATAAAACTTTCTTACACTCTTCTCCACCAGGTGAACTTACTTATCTTCCAAATGCAGTTAGAGTTCTTTCCTTCATGCTTTTCCTGACTTGACAACCCTAGAACTTACCCTATCTAGTAGATGGTAATTATATATATCTTTTCTGACTACGATGATAGGAAACTAGAAGTCAATAATAGGAAGAACTTTGAAAAACCCACAAATATGTGGAAATTAAACAATCAATGAATCAAAAAGAGGTTAAAAGAGAAATTTAAAAATATCTTGAGACAAAATGACCATGCAACACACCAAAACTTTTGGGATGCAACAAAAACAGCTCAAAGAAGGGGAAGTTTATAGCAATAAATACATACATCCAAAGAAAGATCCCAAATAAATGACCTAATGTTACACAGCAAGGACCTAGGGAAAAAAAGAGCAAACTGAGTCCAAAGTTAACAAAAGGAAAGGAAAGAAACAATGAAGAGCAGAGGTGAAACGAAGAAAATAAAGACCAGAAAAATAATAGAAAAGGTTAAGGGCACTAAGAGTTGGTTTTTCAAAAAGATAAACAAAGCCTTCTGACTTTTAGTTAAACTAAGAAAGAAAAAGAGAGAGGCCAGTGGAATAAAATCAACAGCCCCAATATAAACCCACACATTTATAGTAAATAGATTTTCTACAAAGTTGCCAAGAATACACAATGGCAAAGGACAATCTCTTCAAAAAATTATGTTGAAAAAACTAAACTAATGAAATAAGATCCTTATCTCACATCATATAAAGATTGTCCCTGACTCACAAAGGTTTAATTTATGATTTTTCAACTTTACAATGGGTTTATTGGGATGAACCCCATTGTAAGTTGGACTTATATACCAAAATCATCTCAAAATGATTTAAAGATTTAAAACAAACACTTGAATTTGAAAAACTACTAGAATAAAACTTAGGGGTAAAGATCCACGACATTGGGTTGGGCAATGGTTTTTTTTGATGGCATCGCAAAAGCATGGAAAACAAAACAAAAACAGACAAACGAATCTCAAAACTTTTGCACAGCCAGAAAAATAATCAACAGAGTGGAGAGAAGATATTTGCAAATCATACATCTGATAAGGGTTTAACATCCAAATTATATAAGAAACTCAAACAACTCAATACTAAGAAAAAAAAACCCATTTTAAAAATGACAAAGGACCTGAATAAACATTTCTCAAAAAAAGACACGCAAATGGCCAACAGGTGTATGAAAACAATGCTCAGAATCACTACTCATAAAGGGAAATGCAATTAAAGCCACAATGTGAGACTTCTGGCAAGATGGTGAAGGCGCAGCCTGGTCTATGAAACCCTCCGCAAAGGAGAACACAGAGGGTCTCTGGCTCTCTCCCTGGGGGCTGCGGATCCCAACGTTGATAGCCTGCTCTTCACATGGAGCTCGGCCGTCGCCACTGCTGGGGCATCACAGCAGTCTGGACAACCACTGCAGCCAGAGACACAGCAGCCACTGGTGCCACTGCTGCGGCCTCCGTGGCGGCCATAGCACATCACACCACCCATGCCTGAGGCGATCCACGACTTCAGTCCTTGAAGCCCCTGCCAGCAAGATCTGCTGGGATCGCTGCCACCTCTGCTGCCACCGTGATGTCCTGCCGGCCGTGGGTCTCCTCCCATGTGCCTTGAGGCAGGCTCTCATCTCCAGCCTCTGCCCGACTCCTGTCTGGCTCCACCTCCTCTGGGGCAGGCAGCTGAGATAGCACGACCCGCTGGCGATTCAAGGTAACAACACCGAAACGGGAAAAACAGGCTTGAAAACCAGACACAGGCCAGATTTGAGTGGGGAACTGAGGGTAATCTGAACTGCCCTTCATAGCAGGCTGGGAGAAATGGACCCGAACTGCAACTAATTTACCAGCTTGAAAATGCAGCTAGAAATCAGAGCTGAAAGGACAGTGGACTTAAACAAAAAGTCTCAGAGTGTGCTCAATTGGTTCTGTTAGTTTAATGACTTAATTCTATTCCTACCATTTTGTTCCTTTTTTTTTCTTTTCCTCTTCCTTTTCTTCTTTTCTCCTCTCTGTAAACCATATCTTTGTATAGAGGAACAGCACACCAATAAGGTGGTTGGTTAGCTTGTATGTTAGCATCATTGTATGTTTTATTTATTTTGTATAAGAGTTGGTTAGTCTGTAACCGTGGTCTATTGTTTTTATCTGTTTCAGTTTAGGTATCTCTCTCCATTTGTTGGTACACTTGTCTGTTTCCCCCTTACTCCTCTCTCTCTCCACCCCCTTCTTCCCCCACTGTCTGCTCCATTCTCTTTCTTCTGCTAACCACATTTTATTTCAGGGAGTAAACCTACAGCCCCACAGCACAGACTGTCAGCGAATACAACTGTCGGCGAATACCAGGACCTGCAGATAGATTGTGAATCACAGCTCCGCCCTTAAGTAAATCTCAAAACTGCAAAAAGAACCACCCCCAACCTACAGTGCAACTCCAGAATTGAACAAAGCAAGAGGGCATACATAAAGAAGAATAGGAGACTGAACAAACAGAAGTAAAAGCAATCCCTCTACCCCTGAATAACAGAATTAAAGAAGATGGTGGTGTGGAGGGAAGGAAAAAGTAGGGAGGAGGAAAAAACCGCACAAATGAAGAAAAACCAAAAAGAAGAATATAGGTCTCACACAGACCACTGGGAGATCAGACACTAAGAAAACAGTTTCTGGAACACAAACAATGAAGAACCCCCAGAATGACTGACCAGGATGTCTGGGTCACATGCAACAAACCCAGACATCAAAATATTAATAGAGAGAATTTAAAAAATTGAGAAGAGACAAGAGGAAAATAGGAAGGAGCTGATGTAACAGGAGTATAGAAATAACAGGAGTAAAGAACACTATGATGAAAATAAATAACAAACTAATAAGCATGGAAAGCAGAATTAGCCAAACAGAAGAAAGAATCTCAGAGTTCAAAGACCAAAACACAGAACTAACCCAAACTGTCAAAAGCATAGAAAAGAAGCTCAAAAAGACAGAACAAAACCTTCAAGAGATGAATGATCACTTCAAGAGACCAAACCTAAGAGTAATTGGCCTTCCTGAGGCAGAGAGAGAAACAGAGGCCACATTGGAACAAACATTTCATGAATCATTCAAGAAAACTTCCCTCATCTCATCAAGGATGAAAAAATTCAAACACAAGAGATTCAGAGAACCCCTGCAAGACAACAAATGAGAAGACCAACTCCCAGACATATAATAATTCACCTAAACAAAGTAGGTATAAAAGAAAAAATCCTAAAGGCTGCAAGAGAAAAAGGCCAGACTATGTACCAGGGAAGACTAATTAGAATAGCAGCAGATTTATCTACAGAAATGCTCTGGGATAGGAGAGCTTGGAGCCCTATCTTCAAAGTTCTAAAAGATAAACAATTTCAACCGAGAATAACCTACCTAGCCAAGCTACGCTTCATCAGTGAGGGAGAATTGAAATCTTTCCCAGATACCCAATCC